TTTGGTAAAAAAAAATAAAATAAATAAAAATATAAAAAAAAAAAAAAGAAGATTAAAAAAAAAAAAAATTAAAAAAAAAATAAAAAAAAAAAGAATGCAAATTTAATATTTTAGAAGATTTCAGACCATCATTACATGCACTTCTTCTTCTTCATTTTTTAGCGGGCCTATAGTTTCTATTAAGAAGTCACTAATATGTATAGCAAAACCTAGCTCTTTTTTTCACAAGGTTTGCTCTCTCTCCGGACCCTACACAGAATGTGGGCCATCATAAACATAAAAAGTAGTTTTATCATGGGTTATCCATACATACTCCTTTTCATCACTATTTAAATCTGGAAAGGTCCTTATTTTACAGTCTGGGTTGACCCACTTGAACATAAATTGTTCAAGTTGGGCAACCTCCTGAAGGAATATTTGACGATACTCAACGACATCAGGATGTTTATGCCTGTCTATGTATACACCCTTTTGATAGTGATAATAATAAAAACCAAGTTTGTATATTCACTGACGTGCTGTTCTCACTGAAATATGTTGGGTAGATCCAATATTCAACTAGAGAAGTATTTGGTTTTCAAAGTAGTCTTTGACTAATATAGGATCTACTTTAAATTTTTGGGAGCACAGGTAAGAGGCCAATTGAAGGGAAACCAACTCATCATGAAGCAGGCTTTTTGAGTGGGATTTTTCTCGAAGATCTGACTGAATTAGCTTCTTTTTCATACATATATTCACTCACTTTCTGATATTTCTTGCAAGCTATGGCTTACTGTTAATAATGTCTACAACTGTCTTTGATGCCTCCATTTTTTTTTGGCCTTGTAGAAGTAAATAAAGAAAATAAAAAGCTACCATATAAAGGGCCTCTTCAGTTTTTGAGAGTATTTCATTGTTTATCATTTAGTCTACAAACTCAATCGCTCTATAAATTTTTTTTTTTTTAATCTTCTTTTTTTTTTTTTTTATATTTTTATTTATTTTATTTTTTTTTACCAAAAATTTTTAGACTTTAGGTTTTAATCAAGATAGTTATTGAGACTCTGGAAAACTACTTGAACAAGTAAGGCGAGCAATTAATATTTTCGAGCAGACATATCTAGGTTGTGTGGGCATATTTGTCTTTGACAATGCCACATCCCATAAAGCTTTTTCAGAAGATGCTTTTGTAGCTTCGAAAATGAACCTTAGTTTAGGAGGTTCAGTTCCAAAAATGTGAGAAACAATATAAAGTGGTGGTTAATAATCAATGGTCATTGAGAGTGATTATTCTGTTTATGATAAAAAAAAACAATTATATGTGAATTTACGTGAGCAGCCTAAAAGAATCCAATGGGTTCTAAATGAAAGAGGGTTGTGGCAGAATGGAATGGTGCTTGAGTATACTTCATATAAAAAAAAAGATGCAGATCCAAACATTATTGATTGCTATGCGCATCAGTTAATAGCTAATTAACCAGACTTTCTTGAATAGCATAGCCAAATTCAGCAAGAAATCGAGTCTTGTGAGCATAAGGTTATATTCTATCCAAAGTTTCATCCTGAACTCAACTACATTGAAATGTACTAGGGGATTGCTAAGAGGTATACTCAATCTAATTGCACATATTCACTTCCAAGTACTAGAGGATTGATTAATTAGGCTTTTGATTCTATTTTAGTAGAACAAATTCGTTCTTTTGCCAGGTTGTTGTATAGATGAATGGATGCTTATCAGCATGGATTGACAGGGAAAGCAGCTGAATATGCTGTTAAAAAGTATAGAAAGCATAGAACAATTAATGAAGATATTATGAATCGGGTTAATGAACTTTTAAAATGAGATAAAGAAAAAAAATCTTATCTGTTTTGCCTTCGAAGAGGATTTTATTTTTTTTTAATTAATTAAAAAAATTTTGACCAATAAATGAATTTATCTTTGTTTCGGTAACTCTAATTTTTTAAACTCTAAGTCGACCTCTTTAGTCATGTAATACGATAATATACTAGTAATTACAAAATGATAATGCATCAGTAATAATGATATTTAATAAAAATTCTATTAAGTAATCTTAAAATCGAACTAGGCATGAAATTCCTGTTTCGCCCTGGGGTAATTATTAATGTTATTGAAAGATGTGCACTTACGGAGAATGTGCATTTATGAGTATTTTAAATGCATTTATAGAGATTGCACTTACGGATAATTAACCAATTACAAATTGTGTTACTATAATAATTAGCCAATCATAGTTTGTGTAACCATGGATCAAATTTGGCGCAGTCTATAGAAAATTGGATGGTTTTTGCTGTCCGGTACTGTAGTATAGCCCAGAAATCTGGATTGCATAAAAAATTTCACTAATTTAGTATAAAATATTCATTTTAACCCAAATTCATGATTTTTTTTTTTTTTAGCCTCATACATTCCTACATTGCCGTTTTATAATGTGTTTGATTTTAGATTTTAAAGAATATTTCTACTACTTTAAATTAAATTTTTGTATAAAAAAAAATTTTTTTATAAGTGGTTTTTTGTTATTTATTTTTAGCGTTCAAATTTGGCCGCTTAAGCTGACGGTTTAAGGGATAGGCTTAAAATTTAATAAAAAAACAATAATCTTTATATTTAACAAACATATAGCCATCAAGAAAATTAAGCGCAAAATCTTAAACATTTACAGTAACTTGCGAAATAAGATGGCTAAGCACAAACTAAAGGCTAGGCCAAATGACTCGTAAAGTTTAAAAAACAAAAGAACTATTTTTAAAATAACTTAAAATAAGTGAAAGTTCATTATAATTAAAACTTAGAATCGATTCTAATTCAAAAAATATGTAATCGTTTCTAGAAACGATTACACAAAAAGGATTCGATTCTCAATGAGGATGCAAGATCAATGTAACGTTACATCTGATCGTGTAACTTAAAAACGAAGCAAAACATTGCCGTTTTTCGATAAGGTTAATAAATCGGGATGCATCTATGATTGTTTTGATTTTACGTTACACGCGGGATTGTCACACAAGCACATTTTTTCTTCTTGTTAAAACCTTAGCGAAATTTCTAAGATTTTCTTTGAACTTTTAGCGAATTTATTTTTATTGAATTTATCAAACAGTTATCGAAAAAATTTTTAAAAAGGTAATATCTTAAGAAAAAAATCCAAGTCGGGCCAATTTTATATCTTTGAAGATTTATTAACAATTGTCTAGTTAAATTCAATAAATTTTATTTTTTATATTTTCCTCGACAACTACTTGATTAGTAAGTTAGTTAATTGTCCAATCAAATGTCAAAAAAGAATTTAGTACCATCTGTATGTGTCGAATTGATTGATAAACTTAATTGAGTAATTAATAATTTTTTTTAGTGACCTTTACGTACGTATCTGGTATGTACGTACCATGCTTAGCTTAACGTTAAACAATAATTTTCTACTGAAACAGAAATTGGATAACAATGGTACTGCATAAACGCAAAACAGTATATCGATATTCTTTATAAAATTTCCTTTTTTGAGATATGAGGATCTACGTGGTTGGAGTCTATTTAACCTATCGCTATTGCATTGTGTCTCAAGCATTAAGTCCAAAGGAACACAATCTTACTTTTTGGGAAATCATATGAAATGGTTACACATAATTGCTGCGATGATATTTATAAAATATAATCATACTGTATTCAATTCTTCTTTATCTAATGGCTTCACCAACTGCATGGAATACCAATGGTGGAAAATCTGATTATTTAGAAGTAGATTCAAGTGGACTGAGAGTAAGCTATACAGGTATGAATAATTGTCTGATACGTTTTCCCGAAATGCATTCCCCGAAATGCATTCCCATTACGTAGTAAATTTACCGACAAGACATTTTACCAATTGTATATCGTTGAAAACTAATATCACCGACTTACCATTATAAATATATATAAAAAATTCATGCTCGTTGCTGAACATAACTTTAGAAATATCGATATACAGTTAGTAAAATATCTAGTCGGTAAAAGTAATGATTAGCAAATTGCATATAATGCAAAAAAAATTGCTTTTATAATTATCATTAGCATATGCAGGTCATGCATGTAATTTGAAAAAACAATGGCAAACTGGTATAATTTTTTTAAATTTTAAACAAAGATTTCAAAACAAATATTCAATATTAAGAATTAAAAATTTTATCAAGCTTCATTAGGTAATCGTTAAGAAATCTTTGTTCAAGATTTTAAAAATTCAAAGAATCTTATTTAAAAATCAATCGTGATTGGCAATAATCCCTTTTTCAAAACAGAAACAACTCAACTTATATTTATCAATATTTATATTGAATTAACTTAGAGTTTGGGCTAGAGATGTGCCAATATAGCATGTAGAGGAATTTATCTAATGTGCGTAATGATCGATAAAATAACATTGAGTAAATCAATGCTTACAACAAATTTCTTTTTATGTTATATCGTTAATCATACCTAATTTTATCTTTTTTGTTGGTAAAATTCACATACTATACATCATATTATTATATCAACTCATCATTCTCCGGAAATACTATACGTACTTTACTCCCAAAAAACTCAGATGGCACATCTCTAAAGCCATATTAGTTAGGGTTAAATTAGAAGACTCTTTTTATTAATTCCTCAAGATAGGCTTAGAATGTCATTTGTTTTATCGAATTTCACAATTTGATTGATTAGTTATTATGTGACTTTCCTCCGCTTTATACGCTCCTAGAGGTCATCGCGTATAAATTCTGGTCACCGACATTAATATCCATGTATTAAGCGTTCCTTGCTATCTGTCACATTATATTGCATACTTACAGTTCAATACATATCAGATATAGCATCGATATGACTAGATTTACAAAAATTAGTAATTTAACTGGTCTTTTACTAATAATTAAAGTTGTAGAAATTGTTTTTTTTTTTACAAAATTTCATTATGATAATTATGGAGAAATTAGTTGATAGGTTCATTAATACAATTACAAACAATTTTCTATAACTTTCTTATTAGCTGAAGACCAGTAAACATTTTTAATGTTGTACAAAATCAACTTTAAGACGGACGGATTAACATCCTTAGTACTGTTTTAGCTAACTTGTTTGTACAGTACATACGTTCCATGGGACAAATAGCATTGTGATATTTAGAGGTTATTGTTAGGAACGGTCACAAAACTTATTAACTTATTAATAATTTTATAAATAAAAAGGTCCTGGAATAAGTGATGAACAAATTGGCGCTATACGAACGAACTATCCAATTCCTAAGCAATGTGAAATATTTTATTTCGAAATTAATATTATAAATCGAGGAGAATATGCGTAATTAATAAATAAAAGTCTTTTTTTTTTATCTTGTTTATGTTAAAAATCCAACTTTAATAAATTGTCTATTTAATTTTATTTTTAAAAGAGTAATTGGAATTGGATTTTCCATAAAGGAATTGGATAATAACCTTGATAAATTGCCTGGTAATTATATTTTATACTATTATTATCAATAGTTAATTTATTAAATATTCTTATTTGTATTAAATACCTGTAGGATATTACAAAGGATCCTGGGGTATTCATGGTGATGATGGAAAACTTTGTTACTATAGAAAATACATATCATATGGGCCAACCTTTGATACTGGTGATATTATTGGATGTTGTATAAACTTTAGATATAACACTGCATTCTATACTTTTAATGGTGTTCATCTAGGTAATTATTATATTTATTGGCAAATATTCTGTTATTATTATAAAATAAAATAATATTTATTTGGTCATTTTTAAGGAACTGCGTTTCGGGATATTGATTATGATGTTCTATATCCTTGTGTCGCTATAAGATCGAATGGCTGCACTGTAGAAATAAATTTTGGACCGAAAAATTTTGGTCTTTTACATCGCTTTCGAGGTATTACATTACAATATTTTAAGGGCATTATGTATTCATGCGTTGGAAACAGGTTCAAAGACAATGAAACATATCTAAAAAATAAAAATTTCAAGTATACTGGTAATTATATATATATTATTTAGCAATTCATAGGATTTTGTTTTTTTCTTAATAAATCTTTACGTTTACCTAATATTAGCGATAACTGCCGACGATATTGAAAAGGAATATTTAAAAGAAGAATGGAATAATACCTTTGCTTTATACGACCAAGGATCAATAAATCAACGAATAAAAAAATTTGAAAAATCATTGATATTATTAGAAATTAACAAACGAAATAATATTCATGCATTAGCATATCGATGCAAAGCATATTTTATTATAGGCGAATATGAACAAGCACTTAAATGTTTAGCTGAATTAACAGAATTAAATGAAAAATCTAAAAATTCTGAAAAAATTTCTATGTTTGCGCTAAAATATCGAGGGGAAATTTTTCATATTATGAAAAGAAAAGAAGAATCACTAGCAGAAGTAGAAAAATTATTAGAAATTAATGCAAATGATTCATGGGGATTAAAAGCTAATAAATTATTTTCTGAAGAGTAAGTATAATTATTTATATTCATTCAATAAGATAAATTATAGTTTCTAACAATATCTGCCATATTTAGCATGTATGTATAAGTTAATTTAAAATTAGCTTTATTTCAAGATTTTCACTAAATAATAATATGCTACTTGTTTAATCAATAAATACAAATCAGTGTGTGAGTATATAATCAACTTTTAAATTGTATTAATATATTTACTATGATAATTGAATTGCTTTCTAATAATATTTAATAATCTTTCACATAATTCACGTATCAGTGAGTGGGTATTAAAGTCCATGATAATTATAAGCGCCTTTTTTGTAAGATTCTATTATATTACAATATTACATTTCTAACCATTCACGTATAAATTATCATGTAGCTTGTGGGTATAAATCATTTTATATGAAGAATTTATCAAAAAATAATACCTTAATAATCAATCAAACGCATTATCATTTAGAAAGTAAGTATAAAAAATTCATTTGTAATACTTTTAAAATTACATAAGTTTTTTTTAATCATTCATATTCTTTCACAAAATTAGCGAGTGAGTATAAGTCTATTTACTAAAACTCTATTAAAGATTTAATACTAAATATTACTTTCAATAGTGAGTGAGTATAAGTCATTTATTATTATTTATAAATCGAGTATGTTATTCTTTCACTAAAGACAATTAATAATCTTTCAATCGATTATAGCCTGTAAGGATAAAATTATTAAATTTATAGTGCTTTTCAAATTACTGTAATCATCAAATTTTCGCAAAATTTCCTTTAAATAATTCTTTATGTTTTAAAAAATTCTACTTAAAAAAGTAACAATTCCAAAGATTCCCTATCAAATTTCGATTTCTTGTATGAATATTTCATTAGTATACTATTTCTTATAGTTTTTTAACAAGCAGTAATGAAAATTTTCAGTTTTCTTCGCTTAAATCTCTACAAATTTTGACCGAAGATATTTCGATAAATATAATTTAGCCAATCACAGGCTTATATTTTATTAGATTTCCAATTTCCTGCGTAGACAGTAATTTGAAAAGCACTCAAAATTTTAAACTTAATAACTTCTAATAACACATATACTTTCGCATAGTTAGTGAGTATAATTTTACTATTATAACTTTTAAAACCATGCTTCTCAAATATTTCCCACTAAATAATAATATTTCTAATTAATCGTATGCTAGTGAGTGAGTTTATTTATAAAATTTTTTAAAAATTTATATTTTCAACTAATTATAATATCATCATATTTAACAGTATGTAAGTATAAAGTTACTTAATTAATTTTTTATTTTAATAAATAATAATACTTTTCTATAAATAATGTTCTAGAGAGTAAGTATAAAATTTACCAATAATAAATTTTCAGATCATAATAATAACAATAAAAAAATACTTTGTATATTAGTGAGTAAGTATATAAAATCTTATTAATCAAAGTAATTAGGCCATATAATTTTTTTTTGTTTTCATAACTCTTTCTGATAAATTTCGAAAAAGATTTTATAATAATCGAATACATCAATTTTTAAAAAAATATATATATATATATGAACAGATAATTATAATTATAATTATAATTTTATATAAATTTTTCTTTTTTTTTTTTAACAAAAACGGGTTTAGACCTATTTTTATGAAAACAAAAAAATTTGTTCTGTATGGCTTTATAATTAAAATATAATATTTCTAATAACTTACTACTATTATTTAGTCTGTAAGTACAATATTGATTTATAAAACTTTCACAATCGAGTTTATAAGGATTTACCGTTGAATAATATAATATATTCTAATTAAACATACTAGCTAGTAAGTATAAAATTTTTTTCTTATAACTTTATGAGTAGAGATGGGCATGCCATTCAAGCTCTATCTACACATATAAGAGTTTATCATATTAATAAATAACACAAATTTCTAATCTGATATTAGCGAGTGAGTGTATTTTTATTTCTAATAAGCCATTTATAAATTGTATCATTAAATATTTATCGAATCATTAAATACTATGATATATTAGTTAGTAAGTATAAAGTTCCTATTTATAATTTTTCACAATCACATTTTACGTATTAAATTTTACTATCGATAAATAAATTATTACAATATAGCCTGTGAGTATTAAGTTCATTAAAAATTAACGTTTTTTTTAATATAACACATTTATCATTTAAATCATTTGTTATTGTAGTCTGTGAGTATAATATATGTGAATTTTTAAATAAATTTTACTGCTAATATCCTATTAAATTACATACTAGCGTGTAAGTATAATTTTTGAAATTAATTTTAAAATCCTAATTTTAAATAATAATAATCCCAATCAATTATATACTAGTGAGTAAGTATGCAACTTTAATTATAAATCGTGTTTTTTATTCAGATTTATTGCAATGATACTAAATACTTCTAAAATATCAGTAAGTGAGTATAGAAGGTTTCGGTATGATTCCTCGAAAGTTATTTCCCCGCCAACCAATTTCCAAGACACGATAATATTTCACCTACAGCATGTTCGACAAGACAAATATTTGACATTACTTATTTTTGACAACCCTTTTCTCGACAAACCATTTTTATGAAAAATAATTCCCAACATGTAGGTCAAATACTGTAGCATGTGTTGGGAAATTGGTTTGTAGGAACTAACTTTCGGAGAATTGAGTGATAACAAAGTAAAACTAATTTACATGAAAAATATTAATCTATAAATAATAATTATTAAATGTATTTTAGTTAGTAAGTATTATAATTTCAAAAGCATGTTTTTACAAAAATATACGCTAAATGCTAATAATTTTTTTTTAAAAAAAAAAACTTAGTGAGTGAGTATAAACTCATTTATGATAGTTATTATACGCATTTTGTATATTTATTACTAAAACTAATCATCTATTAGCGAGTAAGTATAAATTTAAATTTAATATTGTATTTTCTGCTTAATAATAATGACACTTCTAATTATTTACGTCTTAGTGCGTGAGTATAAAATTAATTTTAATAAGAGGTTTCCTTTTAATAATAATATTTGTTTATAATATTTAAAGGATGTGTGCAGAATGTCGTGCAAAAAATTGTGTGTATTGTAACAAATGTAATAGTAAGCATTGGTCAAAGAATTTCGATAAATGGAGAAGCGGTGACTCTACAATTGATGAAATAATTAGGGAAACCCAACTTAATGCTGATAGAAATTTTAAAATCATTGAATGGATAGAATATTCAAATTTAGAAAACATCGAATATATTGCTAGAGGTGGATATGGAGATGTCTATAGAGCAGTTTGGAAAGATGGCCCAATTAAAATTTATGAACCATGGGATACTAATAAATCGGAATGGCGACGAAATAATAACAAAGTTGTAGCGGTAAAAACATTAAATAAATCAAAAGATGAAAATATGATAAATGAACTTTACAATGAGGTAATATATTTAATAACCTTTAACAGAGTTAAAGTTTGGAACTGATCAATTATTGGATAATTAGCAGTTTAAAATAGTTATTCTTAATTTTAGCTAAAATTATAAATTATAACTTTACAAACAATTTGGGTAAATAAACAATACCGTTGAGTCAGTTCAAAGCTTTAACATTTGAGAGATGTAACAGTAAGAAACTAACATGAAATATAATGTTTTTTTTTTTATTGCAGATTAAATGTAATCTAGAACATAATTCTTTATTTGTATGCAGAGTTTATGGCGTTACAAGAGATCCAAAAACACAAGAATATGCGATAATTTCGCAATTTCAAGAATATGGAAATATAAGAAATTTAATTCGTAAACATTATGATATTTTAACCTGGAGAAAATGTATTAATGTTCTCAGAACCATTAGTAATGGTTTATCAGCAATTCATGAGCAAGGTTATTTACATAGAGATTTTCATAGTGGTAATATTTTGATCGATGAACATTATAAAACAAGTATTTCCGATTTTGGGCGTGCTACAAAGCAGTGCGAAATTAGTGAAGAACCGATTGGGGTCCTACCATTTATGGCGCCAGAAGTATTGTTAGGTGGTTTATTCACCAAAGCAGCAGATGTTTACGGATTTGGAATGATAATGTGGGAATTAATTTCTGGTGAAATGCCTTATTCAGATAGAAAGCATGATTTTGAACTTGCTGTTGAAATATGTGATTATAGAGATAACAAATCACTACGTCCAACAATTCCAGAATATGTACCTGAACTATATAAAAAAATAATGAAGGAATGCTGGAAACATAATCCGGAAGATCGTCCAACTGCAAAGCAATTGTCTGAAGAATTTTATGATATTTATAGAATCTTAAATGGTGAATACCCAAAACATAATAAAGAATTATCAAAATCAAATATTGAAAAGGAGTTTAACAAATCGAGAGAAAAAATGTGGAAAGAAAGATTAGCTGGATTAGCAAAAAATCAGCCGTTATCGAAAGAAACACTGCAATTATATACCTCCAAACATCATGGATTTTCCAAGCTCCTTTCGCAAAAATTGCAACAAGAATTGCATCACAAATTTCTAAAAGATAATAATAGTAAGTAATTTTTATTTTGTTAAATTAATTCAACCGAAAAATTTACTATGTTTTTTATTTTAGCACGTGATAGCAGACAGGACAAACTTAATCTGGATATTCTAGAACTAGATGACCTTAAATAAATGTAAATATCAAATCCAAACTAGTAAATCGGGATTGGTTTTGGCGCCGTTTAATATTCTTCTCTACATTAAAGTAATTGTGTGAATGCTGCCACTATATTATCACAATTAAATCACTAAAATGTTTTTTTTTCATTATTATAACTTATATATTATTACTTTAAAATTATTTACTGTAATTAGTTATTGACTCCTACAAATTTAGAGTTTAAACTTTCTTGTTGTTAATTATATAACTTTACTTAATAATACCATTATTTTTTTAAAAAGTAACGTTATCCGGAATTTGATTAGGACATAGTAAAGGTCAGGGAATGTGCAATCCGAAGTGTGTGGCTCTATATTATCACGTCATTGTCCGAGATAAATTTATTGAAATCAGTTATTTATTAAAAAGTAGAATTTTTTTTGTCACTTAGTTCTTTATTTTGCTTAATTTTACTTATTATTATATATCTTTGCACACATAATGAAGATTTTTTGGTTTCAAAATAAAACTTTAAGCTTGTGTACTGTAGCACTCCTAGAAGTGAATGTTACAATAGCAAACACAAATTAATACCTAAATAACTTATAATCAAAAAGATATTTGAAATATGCTAACTTAAAAGTTAATAAAATTAAATTTTAATACTTTCTTCATTAAATAGTATATGTGCTAATATTAAATTTGTTTAATTTTATTATTTTAATATTATTTTTAGTGTAAAAAAATTATATAAAGTCTATGAATTTAATAATTTTAGATTTTAAATAGATACTAGCATAATCACAAAAATCTCAGTATCACACTTTATTGCAAAGCGCCACAATAAGGTGGGACAGAAAATAGTTAACAACAATTAATAAATAAAATATAGGACGTAGATTTAAAATTTTCTAGAGGAACAATGCCACTATTGAGAACCGGGTACAGCGGCGAGTCAGTCGCTCAACAATCTAATTCCTTGCGTAACCTACGGCTAGCTTAGTCGAAAAGAGGCGTTTAGATTTGGTCGGTGGTTTGGGTTCCGTAGGTTGGTATCTCTATTATCCAAGTAATATCTATTCTTTCTTTAACCTCAAATATACCACACTACTTCGGGTAAGCTGGACTTAGTAACCACAGTTGTACCTAGTACGTCAGGTTAGGGAATGGGCAGAAATCAGCTGATTTCTTAGGGGGGAGGGGGTATAGCAGTTTAGTCAGGTCTTAATAGAAGTGAT